GCGCCCTTCCATTGACACGCTGATTTGTCGTTCACTTTAAGATCAACCTAAATGCCAAACGCTGAGGTCTCAACACGGACCAAAGTCATGAGAAACTGCAAGTCTTGTAAGCACACTTGAACAATCTGTTTAGAGCGCCTACAAAAGCACACACACGTACCCAATATTCACCGTTTGCACCTCGAACAGCAAATTTCAGCTCCACGTGCGAATGTCCTTTCCGAAATCGTGATAGCGGAAACGACGCCTTCAAGTCAACTTCATCTGCACGCAAAAAAAGGCCTCGCCATGGCACCACCATCACCACCACCACCTTCTCTCACGCTTGCGGTGAGTGAAGGGCTCAGATGTTATACCAAACACACACACACACACCCACACACCAGTTCACATAATGTGCGTCTTACAACATGCCTTTGGAAGAATCCGCCTCACCATCTATCCGCACATTCCTCCCCACCTCCACCACCAATCACTCACCTTCCTCTGGCTCCTCGAAAGCGCATCTCGGCACAAAGATTGCCGTGGAGAACAGCGAAGTCGCCGTCCTTATGTGCAAATACGCGAACTTCAACACGTCGTCAATAGTGATGTTGACGCTTTCTACAACGGTACACGTTACTGTCCTACAATACTGCCTTCTTTAGTGCAGTTGCTACTAGAGCTCATGGAATGCAGTAAACTTGAAGCAAATCACCGCTCTGATGTGTCAAACAAGCCTTCTAGCCACCTTCCTACCTGCGTTGCTTATAGTAACGTGGGAGAGCGAAGCCACCTCCACCGCCAACCTACCTTTGCTTATGTGGCAGGGACGACCCTCCTCACTACCATCCAGGTAGCAAGCACCACCTACAATGGTGATCGGAGAAATTCTACCGCTTTTCCAAAACGCCATCATCACCTACAAAATGGAAAAGATGTCCACTGTAGCCTTCATTGTGACGCCAAGTGAGTAGTCAAGAGGCGATGGCATGACGCCTTTCCTACTCAATGCAAGTGAAGAGCAAAACAAAAATAGTGTTGTGATGACGTGTGCTCATTGCCAAGTAGTGCACAAGAAATCGTCTAGTATGACGTGAAAGAGACATCGCTGTCCACACTAGCAGCTCGTGCCTACTGGTTGTTCGGGAAGCCGAAAATGCATGGTCGGCGAGCGTCCCGAGGCTGTTGCCACTATGCGAGAACCCCACAGCACTGGATCCGTTCCTGCAACACACAAGCACAAATGTGCATTCAGCTGCTGTCAGATCCACTAACATTGACACTTGACCCCTTTACAGCAACAATCACTCCATAATTCAACGCAGCCTCTGCCAAACATGGCCAATTCCCCACTGATAGTGTGGGAGGGGATGCGCAAGCATCGACCACCTCGACAGAAAGTCAAGTCAAAGGGAAGAAATAACGCACCTGAGCAGTAGGCGACGACAGCAAGAAAGACGACACCCCCCAACATGACACACCACTCTTGTGCTGGCAAATGCTCAGAGTGCATTTATATTTCTTCTTC